CTCCCTGATTAGGGTATTGTTTTCTGATTAATTGTTTGTCTGATGTTAATCCCTGCTTATCTGGGTGTTGGCTGCTGGAGCAGATGTGTTCTGATCTTTTTGTTTCCTTCTTAGCTTTTTTATTGTCTCTTTTGAATGGTGTGTAAATGTGATTTATCTCTATTTATCTATTGCCGGCTGATTTGTCTGAATGCCAAGCTTCCAGGAATTCCCTAGCATTTTTGGATTTAGCTTGATCTAGGACACTCAGTTTCCCAGTTGAAACTATGGTTGAGTCTGCTTATGTGATGAGAAATTAAGGAGTTTTCATCATGTCTCCTGACTGCTAGTTGGTGTTCATGGATGCGCTCTGCTTATCTTCTGCCTGGCTGTCCTACATAGTGGCTGTTATAATCCTTACACTGCATGTTGTAGATGACTCCTGTTTTTTCTTCTTAAGCTACTGGGTCTTTTGGTTTACTTAAGATGTTTTGGAGGGGTTTATTTGGTTTGTGTGCTACAGGGATGCCATGTGATTAGTCTGTTGGTTGTTTCTGAGATATTTTTGATATATGGTACTGTTATCCCTTTCACAGCTTGTGTTGGTTATGCTGTAGTGGGTTGAGTGGTCAGGCACTTTTGGATAAAGTTGCATGGGTATCCATTTTGTTGGAAAATGTTGTATAGGTGGTCTGTTTCCTTTTTCTGGTATTCTGGGTTGCTGTAGTATGTTTGTACTTGTCTGAATAATGTTCTTACACAGCTCCTCTTGTGGGAGGTTGTTGTTGGGTTTGGTTATGGAGCACTTGGTTAGTTGGGTTGTTTTTCAATAGACTTACATTTCTAATTGGCTGTTGTTTCCTTTGCTGATGAGGGTATCCAGTGTTGTTGTTTTCTTCACTTATGAATTTTATTGCTTTGAAAATGTTGTTGGTTGTTTCATGTGTCTTCGCTAGTTGTTTCTTTTTTATTATGACGAAGATGTTGTCTATATACCAGATCCATACTTTTAGTTGTAGGTGTGGGAGTGCTATAGTTTCTCGACACTGCATTACAATCTCTACTATGAGTTGTGAGAGTGGTGATCCATGGGTGTTCCAGATGTATAAGAAATCAAAGGACATAATTCAGTTATTCTGCTTGCCTTCCTTAATTAAATTATGATTTTAAAAAAAGAGAAGTGATAGAATAGCATGGAAGAGATACAGATAAAAGACTTTGATATGTGGACCCCTCTCCATAAAACTCCTAATTTCAAAACATCTCTGGAGTTTCTGAATCTGAAAATTCCTGGTAGCCTTCATGACTAATAATTGTTAATAAAGCCAACCTCTGTACTGCAGCCCTGATTCAAATTACACAGGTGTTATCTAAAATATACTTAGAACAGCATCTCTGTCATAGTTTTGGGGGGGAGGGGTGTCTGTGTTAATCACTTTTAGCAAAAACAGCAACAACACTGGGCAAAGATTAATAAATCTCTGTTGTAATGGGTAGTTTGGTTTCAATGGAATAACCTTCTCCACATTTCAGGGAATTCTGTAAATAAATTAAGGATTGCATTAATAAGTTCTTTTTCTATTTATCTTGAATCTATTGTCTATCAGTTTCATAGCATAAGGTGAAGTTCTGTTCACATATTTCTTTTTTACATTTGAAATGATGGAAATAAGAGGATTTGCATATCTGGTATAGTATAAACTAATGCAAGTATGCCCCTTCATGGATCACTGCCTTGTCGTGGCGAAGGGGCTTGTGTAACTCAGTGAAGCCATGAGCTATACCGTCTCAAGGTCAGTGATCACACCAGCATGGACATCAGGCTCAAGGTCAGTGATCACACCAGCATGGACATCAGGCTCAAGGTCAGTGATCACACCAGCATGGACATCAGGCTCAAGGTCAGTGATCACACCAGCATGGACATCAGGCTCAAGGTCAGTGATCACACCAGCATGGACATCAGGCTCAAGGTCAGTGATCACACCAGCATGGACATCAGGCTCAAGGTCAGTGATCACACCAGCATGGACATCAGGCTCAAGGTCAGTGATCACACCAGCATGGACATCAGGCTCAAGGTCAGTGATCACACCAGCATGGACATCAGGCTCAAGGTCAGTGATCACACCAGCATGGACATCAGGCTCAAGGTCAGTGATCACACCAGCATGGACATCAGGCTCAAGGTCAGTGATCACACCAGCATGGACATCAGGCTCAAGGTCAGTGATCACACCAGCATGGACATCAGGCTCAAGGTCAGTGATCACACCAGCATGGACATCAGGCTCAAGGTCAGTGATCACACCAGCATGGACATCAGGCTCAAGGTCAGTGATCACACCAGCATGGACATCAGGCTCAAGGTCAGTGATCACACCAGCATGGACATCAGGCAAGAAAATTGGAGATATCAAAGGAACGTTTAGTGCAAAGATGGGCATGATAAAGGACAAAAAAGGCAGGGACCTAACAGAAGCAGAAGAGATTAAGAAGAGGTCACGGGATTGGAAAAGGTCAGTTTATGTTCCAATTCCAAAGAAGGGCAATGCCAAAGAATGCTCAAGCTATCGCACAATTGCACTCATTTCACATGCTAGCAAGGTTATGCTCAAAATCCTACAAGCTAGGCTTTAGCAATACATGAACTGGATGTATAAGCTGGGTTTCAAAGAGGCAGAGGAACTAGAGATCAAATCGCCAACATTCGCTGGATCATGGAGAAAGCATGAG